CAGCTATCATCCAACATCATCTATCATCCAACAGCATCTATCATCCATCATCATCTATCATCCAACATCAGCTATCATCCAGCATCATCTATCATCCAACATCATCTATCATCCAATATCATGTGGGGAGTGGTGGCGCAGAGGTTAGAGAGGTGTGCCTGTGATCCGAAGATCACCGGTTCACGCACCGGCCCCGACAACATCAAAATTGTGGGTGGGGTAGGTGAAACACCCACACTTGCCCCCACCCTCATTCGCCCCACTCTGGGCCCATGAGCAAGGCCCTTAACCCCCACCATCTGCTCCCTAAACAGGTCTCTCTTGAAAATGAGTTCTCATGGCTCAATGAGACTACCTGTATAAATAAAGGCTAAATAAAAAAAATTTAAAAATCAGCTATCATCCAACATCATCTATCATCCATCATAATCTATCATCCAACATCAGCTATCATCCAACAGCATCTATCATCCAACATCAACTATCATCCAACATCATCTATCATCCAAAAGCATCTATCATCCACCATCAGCTACAATGACTTTTAATGAGCGAGGCAGCCATACTGGATTTTTAGGTTGAAGGTGGCTTCAGAGTTTGGGGTGTTTTGTCTGATTTGGATTTCAGAAAGATTAACTTCTGAGAACAAATGGAAAGCACCAAACATCTCACGGGGTTTAACAAATGTGAAACACCAGCAGGACAGACTGAAACAGAGAAAATAAGTTTGGACCTGTAAAAAAATGTTTCCTTCTTTTATCCAAATAAGGACATTTAATATTTACAGTGTTCACATGAGACAGAATGAGTGGAGCAGTTTAAAATCAATCAATGCACCGTGGCCACCTCCGTCCTTGAAGAGTTAAAAAAATAAATCAATGTTTTTTTTAGAAATAAAAGTTTGACAGTTTACCTGCAGCTCTGAGCTGCTCTTCCTGACCAGACTGTTGTGTGAAGACTCCACAGGATGTGAGGGACTACCACTGGAGTGAAATCCATTCACTGGAGACACACATGGCAGAGAGAATAATGCAGAGAACGTTAACGGATAATTCAATTATCTTAATGAACTGAACCACCACAGTCCTCTTGGTATCACCGTAATTCTGTGGTAACTGATTAAATCATGTGTTCTCTAACACAGGCAGGAAAGTTGTCACTAAATGATCTGCTGGTGAAATAATCCTACAAACCATGAGCAGCTTCAGGTCTTACATCATCATTTAACAGCAGAGTTTTTAAAAGAGAAAGAAAGACAAATGTATTAGAGAAGACAAAGATTACTTTAATGGATATCTGTTTGATGTCTCCCATCGCTGAGGGATTTAAATAGTAAATGTTTGTAGTTTTTGAGACGAGTGTTTTTATGGACTGGGACTGAACTGTGAATGCAAGTAAACCTTAATGGTTTGCTGCAACATATTCAAGTGGGTAAAAGAATAGAGATTTTTTTATTCTTGTCCTCGAGGCAGCATGGTGTGACGGATCATAGAAAGAGCAGTTTTATCCACCATCAGGTGCAGTGGCGGATCCAGGGGGTGGCCAACAGTGACTATGACCACCATACATTAATTTTCAAACACCTCAATCATTTGAGGAAACTATACTTTTATGCAATTAAAAAACAGAAAGCAGTTTAGTTTCCTCATATGATACGAGTGATCAGTGATCAGTTACTGATAAATATGCTGCTGGCCATCTTGGATTTTGACTCGGCAGCCCAATTTCGGATAGAGATATTTCTTACGTCTAGATCAGGGGTCTGCAACCTGTGGCTCTGGGGCCACATGTGGCTCTTTGGTACCTCTGCAGCGGATCTTTCAGGCTTTGACCAAAACTATAATAAAATTGAATCTTATTTAAATTATTGCTAACAATGAAAATGGTAAGTTTTAGCAGATTTCATGTCATTTTCAAATACATGAAAAAAAGTACAAATACAAGACGTAAAACATGTGGATTACATCATGCTAGCAGTTTGTTAGCCACTTTAAGTCAACTTCCAGTCTTGCAGTGTGATCTTGCAAAACCACCAGAATGTTTTGGAATATCTTTAAGACAAGATGCTGAGAAGGAATATTTGATAACACTAAGAATAAAACACAAAAAACAAAGTCAAAGTAAACAAAAGTATTTATTTTTATTTAAAAATGTAACTGGTTACCCAACAAACTGGCCTAATTTTATACTGTCTTTAAATTTATGCTTTAAGTAGGATACTTAAATCTTCACCAATTAAGAGAACTCACATGCAGAGTTCCATGTTTTAAGTTTGATAAAATTGTTAAAAATTATATATTTGTTCTTTCTTTACATGAATCTGGTCTTTTCCTTTGTACTGAAATGTAAAAATATCAATGTTACTGTTAATGTTAAGACATTTTTCATTTCATAATCTCACCCTCACTGGCTGGAAAAGCCATCTCCAACAAACATGCAGAGGTCCATGGGTCGCCACTTGATAGTAAGATAAGATAATATAATATAATATAAGATAAGATAAGATAAAACTTCATTGATCCTGCAGGAAATTGTTTTAGCAGGTTTTGCAGCTCCGGACACATCATGATTAAGCAAAGTGAAGAAAATGGCTCTTTTTATCACAAAGGTTGCAGACCCCTGGTCTAGACGCAGCCACACACCTTGTTTGGTGTCGTTTGTAGATTTTTAGGCTCTAATCTCAGTTTTTCAGCTGCCAGCAGCTTGTTTCCTGTAACAGGAAGAGCTGAGCGAGAGGACATGTATCAAAAACTCAGCCCTGATCTAAAATGTATTTCCCACTTTAATCTTTGTTTGACTCTGAAAAGGATGAGTTACTAATTTAAAAACAGTTCTGCAACAGTCACCACAATAAAAGGCACATAGACCCTTTTTTATTTGTCATTTATGACAAAGTCATCGATCATCTAATTAAGGTAAAAAAAAAAGTATTGTCTCATTTTTAAATCTTTTCAGAATAAAATACAACTGTTGCTGAGTGGCTCAAGCTGCTTTAACTGGTTGAGAATAAAGGCTGTTTCTGTGAGCGGGAACCTTCAGGAAGCCTCCCTGGTTTTGTCTGCCTTCAGGACCGGAGCCAAACTGAGACAGAGGAGGCCTCAGTTCAGCTCGTCCAGATAAAGTTAGTGACAGGAAGTGTTTGTGTGGAGACCACGAGCAGAGGGGAAGGCCCCCCAGCCCCGGGGCACCCACACTCCAGGAAGGAGAAAAGAAAGAGATGGAGACGAAGAGGTCCAAATGAAGCACCTGCTGGCAGAGAGCTCTTGTGTCTGAAGGAGTTCTTGGGGGTCCCTGGAGTACTGGATGGTCTCTCCCACGTTGTTTCTGGAGAGACAGGGAGTAAGAATAAAAACAGGAACGTTAGAGGGAGCGGTTTGTGAGCAAAGAACACTGGACTAGAGCTGGAAACCAGAACAAAGCATCATATTTTTTATATTTCTGTATCAAACTGATTCAGTGTGTGAGTGTTAGATCGTTTGTCTTGTTGTGCTGCGAAAGGTTCTGTCAAAACTGTCAAATAAAAACTCCCAAAACACGTTTAATGGGATCCAGAGCCAACATGTGTGGAGATCAACGTTTTAAACGTCAGAACATCAAGGCTGTTCTGCTGTCACGGTCCAAATGGAAAGAAAAGCAGCAGTACGCTGATGTCCTCCATCGCTGAACGACTCGAGTAGTGAATGTTTGTAGTTTTCGAGACGAGTGTTTTCCTAAACAGGAACTGAACACGGGATGCAAAAACCTTAACTCTTAATGTCCTGATGCCTGCTTAACTCAATGTTTCTTGTGAAAGAAGACTGTGGAGAAGAACAGAGGTAGGTTTGTTGTTGTTTTGTGCCAGAGTGACAGATTCTGGCGAGCAGAGGGAGCAGTTTTATCAAGTTCAACTTTATTCTCATTCTCATCACATGTGGTACATGAAGTGGAACAAAATGATGTACTCAAGGTCCCAGCTACACCCAAAAATAGCAAAATATAAAGTATAAAAAGAAGGAGTATACAAGGATCTAAGATATACACTAAACAAACACCAAACAGTACGCTAAAAGATATGATATACGCTAAATGCCAATAATGTTAAATAATACAGTATATTAAACAGCAGCCCAAACATGAGTCAGCAGTGAGTAGATAGGTATGAATGAAGCAGCATGAATATCCAGCACCAGGTGCAGTGGTGGAGCCACGTGGTGGCCAATGGTGGCCTTGGCCACCATAGATTAATCTTCAGCCACCACAATCAATTGAGGAAGCCTTATTTTTAAGCAAAATAAAAACTAGAAAGCATAATTTCCTCAAATGACAGGGGTGGATGGTTTACTGATGCAGGGGTATCAAACTCACAAAAAGGGGGCCAAAATAAAAACCTTTTTCGAACTAAGGGCCAGTTTCAGAATCTACATTAACTCTAGTTAGATACCCAACATCTTTTCTTGGTCACAGGTTCCTCAATAAGAGTTTAATTGGTCTCGTTTGACATTCTCTGTTGCAGTTTTGACATTATAATCAAAGATTACTGAAAAAATTCAAGTGATAAAACGTATTTTATGTTTGCCATATCATCTTGGGGGCCAGATAAGATGTCCACGAGGGCCACATTTGGCCCCCGGGCCTTGAGCTTGACACATATGAGGCAAGGCAGCCGACTTGGAACCAGAAAGTTGCAGTTCAACTTCCTGCCATGCCCACATGTCATGGTGTCTCTGAGCAAGACACCTAATCCCTAATTGCTCCACACTACTAGTGTTCTACACTCATAGTGTAGTCTACACTCATCTCCAGGCCAGCGGTCACTCTTTCAGGGATGAAGATGTTCACATCCTGGACAGAGAGGAACGATGGTTTGAGAGAGGAGTAAAGGAGGCCATCTTTGTGAAAAGAAATCGTCCATCATTAAACAGGGGTGGAGGCCTCCGGGTTCAA